TTGGGCCAGCCAGTCCTTGGTAGAGTGCCCTCCACCTTGTAAGTGGTCACCAAGGTGACTCCGTGCCTGGTATTTGATTGCATGAGAAGTGTCAGGAGAAGAGAAGAAGGCCTAGGGATAATTCGCCTCTGCTGCACACAGTACTGCACCTTCCAGTCCATTGCCTACTAAGCTGCCTTGACCATCACAGCTTTGCATTCCTCGTTACTTTACTGACTATGCATGTGTCATTTAAGCTTTTGGTCTTCATACTGCAAGCTGGGTGGAAGCATTGTCACATTTTTCTTATCTTTTTCTCTCTTTCTGAAGAAATTCAGGTAATTTTCCATAAAAAATATAGTTCACTGAAATTGTTGACCAGTTGAGATTATAAGCCTACCATGTCATTTAGTTTATTACTTTTCCATAGCAGCTGAACTGCCTGTAAGGCAGTTATTATAAAATCTCCTGCTAATCAGGAGTACTCAAACCTATGAAAAGCTTGTCACTTTTTTGCAGTTAAAAGTATTTCCTCTTAACCATTTAATTAAATCTAAAAGCAGCAAAGAAGCAGGAGAGTCCTTATAATGGTGATGATATGGTACAGGCACTGTATGGTGGACTTTCTGTTGAGAATGGCAGTTCTTGTTTAATCTTTCAGTGTAAACCAAGGAGCAAACTTACTTAAATAATTTCTGCTGCATGCATAAGTTGGGAGGAGGGGGAGAGGGGGGAAACCCAGAACATATAAAGACATATATTTCAATTTACACTTACTAGTGAATAAACTTAAAATATCGTAACACAAATTCAATCGTTATAATACCACTTTTTTTATTCTAAGAACCAAAGTAATTACTCTGTATATTTACGATCTTTGTCTGTGATTAGTTTTCTGTCACAGGATGTATTGAGTCTGTACTGTTATGACTGTATTTTATTTACTAACATTTTCCTACACAGTGCTGAATACTTCCGGCTGAAGAAGCTGAATGGACAAATCCATGAAGATATCTTTCATTTTCCCTGACAGTGAATGATGTTTCCATATATAAACATAATAATAGAGTCATTACATATGCACTCACATTATCATAGCTGCTGTGTGCTCAGTGTTATTCAAAACAAGGCAGGAAGCCAAATCTTCATAGTTCCCATTTTGATTTAAATTGTATTTGTAATAAAGGGATTTTCATTCAACCTAAATGCAGTTTCATCCTAGTCCAACCAACCTCCCTGCTTCTTTTTTTTATTATTATTATTTTTCCTTTATTCTAGGTCACTCAGTCCTGATACAAGTGAAATTCTCCTCTGGTGGTGATAACAGCAGTGCTACCCAATGAACTATAACAAGGGCTCTAAATGCATCTCCTGTAGCATACCACAGTGATTTGCAAAAGTGGGAATAAATCAAAGCAGTGAAGAGATGCCGTGTTGAGCCAGAAGCTAAATGTTACATCTTGTTGCATGAGGCTAGGGGGAGAACAGATCCTGTTTTTCTGGCAGCACAATATCTTTGTGCTTGTTACCTCCGATCCAACCCCATTAAAACAATCATTCACAATCTGCAGGAAATTGTCACCTCTTTCTTTCATTCAATGGCAGCTGGTATTGGTGCCTACACACATTTCTCATTTCTTTCAAGATTTTCAACACACATTAAAAAAAGAAGCTTAATTTATATTAAAAAATGTGTCAGCTTACCCTGAGGCTCAGCATGGGCACCAGGGAAAAAAATAAAAGATAAATGCCTCTAGGTGAACTGGCAGAGGCTCTAATTCTCCACTCACTCCACTGCTACACAGTATGCACCACATTAATCATTTCATATAGGCAAGCATTTACAAAAACTTCAACAATTCTAAAACAAAGATGCATTGCCCTAAACTTAATAATAATACAGCTGTATCTTGTAGAACAGTCTCAGTTCACAAATACTGTATCCTCTAATAGAAGAGGTATAAAATAATATTGGAGTCTTCTGTGACATAATTTTTATCATTCTGTTTCTTCTGTCTATACAGTTATGTCCCCTCTAGTGGGCATTTTTGTGTGCGTGTATAAGTATACATATATAATGTTGTCATTTGTCTTATTTGAGTGCTGACATTCACAGGATATTTTCTACCTCTCATTTTTATTGTGTGGCTGGGTAAATGTGTTATATGATCCCAGTGAACTCTGTTACGCCTCAGTCTAACTCTAATATAGTTTTTCTTTAACTTTCTGTGCTGGGGGAATAGGGATTTTTTTTTTTTTTTTTAAACTCACAAAGCTAAATACAAATAATACTGGAAGGTGGAAGACAATATCAGGGCTAGGAAGGTGGCAATGATATACTCAGATGTCAAAGATGACCAGTACAAAGCTTTGAGGGAAGGACTGTTTTAGGGGATAGGACCTATAACCACGGCAGCTCTAGTGCCACTGAGACCTATGAGAAGATGAGTAAAGATTTGGGTTGCATGAAGGCCATTGTTTCATTGCTTTGATATACCAGGTGCTGCAAGGCTGGCTGACCCAACCAGCTGGAGACAGTCCTCTGCTGGAGAAAGCATCAGCAGTTGTACAGATGGCATGCATAGCTTTACGTTCGTCCCAGCATGTTAGAAGATGTGGCTCCAGGGAACACTCCATGGGCCCTAGATGAGTTGTTTGAAACACAGTTGTCAGACAACAGCATTTCCAGCAGCTCTGCAGCTGGCCTCAGTTATACTTCAGGACTCCCAGCAGCTACCTGAGAAGGTTTGCAGAGGTGAAACTGTTTTGTGCCTACCTCTCAGTGCTATGTGAGTGTAGCAGAGAACAGACAACTAGTCTGAGTAACAGTCTGACCTATGAGGAAAGGCTGGACCAGTTACAAGCCAGATTTAAAAACAAGAAATGCAGATATGAATTGGACTTTTTTAAAAATGCTAAGCAGCAATATATGTATGGGTGCATTTTACACCCATACCCCATTCTCAAGGCGGTCAGCTTGGCATATGACAAAATGGCAGGCAAACATGGTTCCTCCCACATCAGCAGAGATTACTGAGCAACCAACCAAACAAAAGATTTTTCAGTATGATGGGGAACTTGGCGGGCATGGATCCTGCAAGTCAGCAACAGGTTGTGCATGTGGTGTTGACAACAGGAATCTGGCTTTTACAACCATGAGGCCTGCTCTGAGGATCGAGGACTGTTAGGAAGAGATGGGGTCCGCTGCAGTGGGGCAAAGTCTGACCAGCCTGTGATGAGAGCTTTAAATTAGGAATGATGGGGAAGGAGTGGTGGACTGCAGTGACAAGCAAAGTGTGCTGGATGATGTGAACAGGGGAGACATTGCATTCAAGAAAACAGGGCAGAAGAGGGCCCACTCCAAGGGTATCCACACAAACAAGCAAGTCCCTACAGGACAGGTCTAACACCTCTTCTGGAAAACCCACATGGCTGGATGCGTCTTTGAACCGCCTGTACTCTAACACATGTGGCATGGGGAGAATACAGGAGGAATTCTGTGCTCGGAAGGATGCCATGAAATATGGTCCTAGAGAAAAGAGGGATCCAGGAGAACTGGATGATTTTCAAGAATCACCTCCTCCAAGTTCAAAAAATGATCCTTCTTGCTGTGGAGTAAGTCAAGCAAAGGTGGTAGGAGGCCTGCATAGGTGAACAAATCCCACCTGACAAAACTCAAGCACAAAAGGAGGTGTACAAGAGGTGGAAGAAGGGACAGGTGAAGCAGGAGGGATATAGAGACACTGAGTGTGCAGGGATGGGCTTAGTGAAGCCAAAGCCCATTGAGAGTTGAATCTGGTGAGAGAAGTGAAGGACAAGAAGAAGGGCTGCTATGCACACATGAATAGCAAAAGGAAGACTAGGGAAATGTTGGTTCACTGCTGAATGGGCTGGGGGATCTGATACCCAAGGAGAAGCTAAAGGTACTCGATGACTTTTTCACTTCAGTCTTTACAGATGACACTGACTTTCAGAGATCCCAGGCTCCTGAGGCCAGTAGCAAAATCTGAAGCAATTCAGACTTACCCTCAGTGAAGGAGGATCAGGTTAGGGAACTTTTAATGAAGTCCGTGGGAACTGATGGGATGCACCCACAAGTGCTGAGGAATCTGGCCATTCTTCCTTATCCTTGAATGGTCATGGCGATGGAAGGAGGTTCCTGAGGACTGGAAGAATAAAGATGTTGCTCCTGTCTTCACAGAATCAACTCTGAGCAGCAGCAGCGTTGGGGCGGGTGATCTCCAGAGGTGCCTTCCCACCTCAGTCACTGTGTCATATGTCTGTGATTCTGTATCTGTTAAAGCCCATTCTTCTGTGCCTGTGAACCCGTGTGACATTTCAAGGACACCTGAAACTTTTTTCCTCAGTTTCAGTTGCCTGTCTCAGGAGATCCATTTGCTGAGTGCAAAAATTTCTGGAGTCTGCTTAACATCTTAATCCTCAGAACAGATTAGTTTATGGCATGCACAGCCACCATCGCTGCAGAAATGGCAGGTTTAAATGGTGCATAGTTTGGTAGGGCAAAGCAAATTTGTTGGACAGTGTGTATATAAAAAGTATTGCTATGGCACAAGAGGTGATGTGGATGTGAGCGCGGTGGGAGGCTGTAAGAAGTGCAAAATCAGAACACCAGGA